GAGAGAGAGAGAGAGAGAGAGAGAGAGAGAGAGAGAGAGAGAGAGAGAGAGAGAGAGAGAGAGAGAGCATAAACCATACACAGACCAGGGTTATCCGTGGGCTTAGGGATTTATCAGACAGTCCCCGGAGGCAGACTGAGAGGGGTATACTGGATCTGATTTTCAGCCATGTTTATTCAAAGGGTAAGCAAGATAAAGGTGAGAGACAGTGATGAAAACAAATGGATGTACTGACAATCAATCCTCTGGAAAATGGATGTACTGACAATCAATCCTTCCAGAGGGAAGCAATCAATGCTGTCAGAGTTCCCCGGGCCATAACGCGGGGAAGCGCTCAAGTGGTGTACACATCTTTTTTTGACATTGCCGGTCGAATAGCAACCGCACTGACGCTCCCCAGAACAGAAGGAGCCAAGCCTGAGAGAGCCAGTCTTTCTGGACAAAAGGGGGGAAATTTGCATACCGGTCGCCCTGCAATAATGTCGCTCAGAAGTGCATCCTTCAATGCATCCCTGATTGCAAACAAGGCCTTGACAACCACAGGAGCAGCATCTCGCCCAATACTAGTGCCGCTAAGACGGACCTGTTTTGAGCAGAAACAGACGACAAAAGAGTGATTCTATGAATTAAACTGGGCAACACTGCAAAATCTAAGGAACACAGCTGCCACAAATTGTCCAGCAAAAAGAAATAAATGAAAAAAGAAAGGCAATAATCCAGCACAAACCCTCCCTCAACCTCACACGTCAACTTTGCCAACTAACGCCGCAAAATATATGTCAACAACAGGGCAACTGACAGCAGAAGCTCGACCACACAACATAACTCACTCTCCACAGAAACAGGTCCATGAAGAAGGATCTACTCCTTCACAGTTAAAGGGGGGGGGGAACAACAAAAAGATACACAAAGCTCAGTAATCGAGGTACACAAAACAGGGCCAATTGGAGATTTCAGACTTTGGATCATAGTCCCTGCCATTGGCAGGAAGTTCCCCCGTGAATGTCGCTGGGCAAACTTTGTGCCATAGTTTTCTGTAGGCTTTTCATATACATATATGATTGAAAAGAACGTCAACAGCAGCATGTATATGCCAAAAACAGTCATACCTTATTCCAGAGCAGCATTAGTTGTTCGAAGTGGTAATTTGGCTTTTTGGCTTGGAAGTCTTTCTGCATTTTCGACTTCTTATTATTCTTTTCGTTTACTTTTTCTCACTTTTCTTTCTCCAACCAATGCTTTTAAGCGAAACAAAATCAATCTTGTCAATTCACAGTTAATGAATGCAAGAAGTCTGAACAATTGCAGTGTAAGCCTACGAGGGGCTTGGCGGGATGGGACACATGCCGACAAGTTATGCATACCTGATGCATGACTTTCACAGCATTGCCCGAGTTTCATTTCTTGTGGCCTTTTGGAAGGTGCTGGTCACGCAACAGCTCGGAACTAGGAACCCAAGCTAGCTTACAGAGCAGTTATAGGGCCAGGGGCAGCTGGTGCTATATTACGTTTCCGGAAGGCAGGAATCCAGTTGCAGAAAAGGCTAGATTCAGGTTACCTTTGCACACAAGCAGCACCAATTGAGGCCTACCCCTCCGCAGGTGCTATGGTGCATAGACATGACAAATCAGTCAAAAGTCATTCATACAGTGCAACCCAGACATGCTAACATGAACTAGTTTCACTTGATGATGGAAAGCAAAAATTCCGCTGCCACAAACATACATGTGCAACCTCAGCACAACCACACCATCCGCCCTTGATAAGACAAGAGTGTGACTTAGACTGCCCAACATATAGACATGAACACAGACATAATTGCAGGCTTTTTAACTCTTTTACAGAATCTATCAGTGTGTGTAACCATGGAAACCACCGGCGGTCTATATACCTGTTGTTTGACACAAAGTAAGGGTATATCAGTCTGTGTAAATATCTATAGATTGATCGGTCAACACACACACACACACACACACACACACACACACACACACACACACACACACACTCTGTCCTGGTAGATTTGAGTGGTTAGGATCAGGCTCGTACTAGCAAGCCATTCATCTTTTTGTGGTTGAAAATGTTCTGTTGGTTGTTTTCAATGTTTTGTTTATTATACATGGCCTAATTCTTTGCCCTGCTTTTAGAGCATGGGCTGTTTCTTTGATGAAGGAATGTCTGTGGGTGGCCACGAGTTTTTTGGGGGATGGGAATGTATGTTGTTAGGAGTTTTTGGCTACAGTATCTTCACGAGGAGGCTCAGAGAGTGTCTGCCGTTGGTGTCATTCCCACAGGCTGCTCGTGTGGAGCACATGGAAGAAATGGGGCCTCTAGGGTGTTTTGAGCAGTAGCGCTCCTGGTGTCGCATGGAGAGCTTGTGGAGTTTGAATCATGGCACTCTATACACTCAAGGGGTTCGACAGCCAAGTGAAAAAGGGGGCTGTCTAGCCATGGCGTGATAGAGATGATGGTGACGTGAGTGGGTCGTCTGGGATGAATACCAGTGTCAGTGCTGTTGAACTTGTGCAATTAATTTTGTGGTTTTGTGGACCGACTCAGAGGGTCTCCAAGTTTTTTTCCAACCAATGGCGGATGTGGTCAGTGCTTTCTTGTTGGTGGAGCCTTCTGTGTTGTGGTACAACTAATTTTGTGTGTTTTTTTAACTGTTTTTTTCAATTTTTTTGAGTAATTGCATTTTGTTAAGTATCAGCTGGCCCCCAACCATTCAATGCCGCCCATCGTCAGTTGTGCAACACTGCTCTACATTGAAAAAAAGGCATTTGAACCACCAGTGTTTTTCCCGCTATTTTGTTCCAATGCAGCTCACTAGGGGCTCAGCCTACCAGACGAAAACGGCTGGCATCGCCATGCAAATAGAATGTATTTTACACCCACGCCAGTTTGCTTTGTTTGGCATGCAGCAGAATCGGACCAGGTAAAAGACGCTTGGAGAGACTGGTGGAGGAAAAGAATCATGCGTCACAGATGCAGTCCAGAACCTAGGGAGCACACTGGGAATTTCCAATTTCATCTATTACTGCAATTTACAGAAATTCAAAACAGAAATAGAAACAAACGAATGCAAAAGAACATTAATACCATTGAAGTATGCCACATTCTCGAAGAGGAACAAGCGAAGCAAAAGATAAGAGCAACACAACTGACCAACATCCATGCCACCAACCAGCTGCTCGAACTACTGACTGGTGCACCATAAGCAGAAAGCAGCGGGGAAAAGGACAAGAACCAAGGGGCTGCAAAAAACTGTTTCATCGGACTTTACCAACTCATCAGGAGGCTGAAACCTCCTTAGAGTCCTTACTCTGCAGACTCTGCACAGTCGCCTCACAGATGATACGGCACACGACAATCCACCTTAGCCACAGTCGCAGGTGGGCACCAACCACTGCCCTCAAGGCTACAAGTAACAAAAAATAAAAGCAAACTATCACCCGCCACACCAGACGGAAAACTGATCCTCCTAATCATGGCCAGACATCGAGTTCGATGTCAGTGTGAGGATGTCCGAACAAACCTTCGTGAACTTTGCCCCTGGGGTCAGCAGTGGTTTAAGTAACTCCTCAGCCATCTCCTTCGTCAAGAACTCCCGCTTCCTGCCTGAGATATCAAACTGGAATGGACCAAACGGAATAGGTACACAAAAATCCACTCAAGTCAGAAAATGTGAGCTGGCCAACGGCAGCCTGCTACATAAAGCAATACATACCCAACACACGTCACAAATAGCATTGTCTATTCATAAGATGTGTTTTGTGAGACGGCAGGCCGTCGACAACAAATCTCACACACACCATTGCTCGACAGTAGTGCGAGGCTCCAGGCCCCCATGGACCTTCAGTCCGCTGCAAAAAGAGCCATGCCACACAAAGTGAAGGAGGGTCTTGGGAAAATGACACCAAACGTGGCAAGGGATCTGCTGGGCCCGAGTCCAGGCGTCAGCCCCTGTAACTAACCGGTAGGCACAGCCGCCAGTTATTCACTTGGTTAACGGGGGGAACGGGAGGGTTATTTTCGGTGAATTTTGCACTGAAGGGTTTTTATAGTGTTTTCATGTCTTTTTGTTCGTTTTCTTTTGCCTGTCTGTGTACTTTTATGTTTATATTAGAGCCCGCATTGTTTGTTTCCAAGGTTTTCCGCTACGTTGTTTGTGGTGATCTGGCGAAAGCGGCAAATTTGACAGCCCTCCGTTAACCACATGTCGGAGAAAACCAAGGAGGCCACCCGGGGGAGAGAGGTTTGGGCACATTGCTGCATGATGGCAGGCTGGAGGAGGTAGCCTGGAGAGCTGCAGTGGCTGTGAGCACCAGCCATAGTTGGGCGCAGGAAGCAGAGTGGTGAAGGGTGCGGTTCTCGCCTGGTGTTGGCGGAGGAAGCCTGTGTGAGCAGAGTCTTCAACCAGCATTGGGCGAGTGGCATGTGGACAGAACGACGGATGTAGTGAGCTAGCATGAGTAGAGGTAGTAAGAAGTAGAGTAGGGCCCTCACATCACAGTAGGGCTACTACATTGTTGTTGCAGTGTTTTGTATACTCGTAAGTGGTGTTGCAATTGGCTTTGGTTTTCTGCTTTCAAGTCCGGCCAATCATGTTTAGTCTTCTATGAAATTTTCCATTCTGCAACATTGGTGTTCTAATTGTGTGGTTCCTTGCAATTGGGTACCAGAGCAGGTTTCCTTTGGGTCAGCATTTATTTATTTTTATCTATGTTTGTGCTAACTATGTTGTCTGTTCTATTTTTGTCTGTTCCAGGGCGTCGTTTCGAATGCATTCTGTCCAAACAGACTACTGTCTGTTCGGACAAGGACTTCGGGCCTCCTGGGGGGTCAGGTTCGTGACTGGGCCATTTTAGGCCACGTTCAGAGTCGTCCGGTAGCGGACATTCCCTGCTCCATCAGCAGGAGGGCCTGGACGTCCGATAGGGACCTGTTTTTGGCGTAGGAGCAGAGGAGCAGGACTTTGGCCTGCAACCTGGACCATCGATCAGACGGCAGAAATGATGGCCCAGGTTGCAGATCGTGGGCATTGCAGCCCGGCCCAGCACTATATCTAGCTGGGCCAGTCCAGTTCCTGGGCAGAGAGGAGTTCCCACTCCTTGGGCAACATGCTGTTGGAGCAGCACGCAACTTTCAGCGCCGCGCTATAGCTAGAGGTAGGGAAAGGCGCTGGCCATACCCCCGAGTAGTGGACAGCTTACCTGGGCGCCATAACTGGTTCCTTAGCCAGCGACCTGCAGCACAGAGGGGCACGCCAGCTCGTCAGTACATGGCTGCAGTTACCTGCAGGTGAGGCAGTGGAGAGGTCAGCATCCTCTTCTTCTTCTTCCTGTGCCTGCCCTCCATTTCCTCCTTCCTTCCTCTTCTTCTTCCTCCTCTTCTTCTTCCTTCAGAGAGAGAGAGAGAGAGAGAGAGACAGACAGGTTACAGGCAGAGTTATGTCGGGCTATGGTGCCCAGGATCTGATTCGACATCACAGGGCCAGACATTGACTGGACCTTTCACAGGGAGACTTCACTATCACGATTTTGGTCTTCTCCCTCATCTCCATCTTCATCTTGCTCTTCCTCCATCCCCTCATCCGTGGTTTCTCCCCATGTGTGTGCTCATGGAGGGACCTTTCTTCCAAGTATGTGGTCCCTCACTTCTCTCTCACATGTGTGGTGTGTGATGGGCTGAGTCGAGACAGTGTCCAACAGCTCAGGTCGCATCTTCGAGTCTTCCACTGTTCTACATTGTGCTATTTTCGTACGTATCTGGATGTACATTGCTTGTTGATGCTTCGCTGATGCTGCATTGACCATTCAAGTCCTTATCATCACTTTGCTGATCCTTTGGCTCCATTGCATCACTAGGATTATTCCGAGTATAGAGCAGTGCCCGAACAGGAGAGCAGCTGTGGTGGCTGTAAGTGAGCGCCATCCATAGCTAGGTGCACAAAGCAAAGCGGCGAAGTGTGGAATAGGGAAGACGGTGGGAACAGGTGGTTCTTACCTGGTGTTCGCAGAGGAAACCTGTGTGAGCACAGTCTTCCAGCAGCATTGAGCGAGTTACACATGGGCAGAGGGATGGGTGCAGTAGGTCAGCATGACTTAAGGTAGTGGGAAGTACAGTCGGGCAATCACATCACAATAGGGCTACTACATTGTGGTTACATTGATGATTGGAGGCAAGAAGTCGGGCTTTCTCCATCAAGAGACTTGTGGTGGTCCAAAAGAAGGCAACCAGCATGGAGATCGAGAAGGAAGGCACTACCTAGAGCCTCGCTCCACTGTGATGTGCTAACCTCACGCCCGATGCTGCTTTCCCTTCGAAGTGGACAAAGAGGGCCCAGGAAGGTACAAAAAGTGGGGGTGTGCCAAGGATTTTAGGAAAGGGGTTTAAAGTTCCAATCCAGAACTGGATCTCCTATATCGGTTTTATGAGTGCCAAGCTGTGGCGAAAAGAGAGAAAATAAACCATTTGCATCGGAGCTCAAAATCAATCGAAACCATGCATACGTTACAAAAATGAGCGATGCAAATTAAAAAAAAATAACAGTGTCTGTGCGAGGTCCTTCATCGCCGCTTTCTGGTTGAAAGGGTCCATGGGTGTACGCTGGATCACAATCATGGGGGATGGCTCCCTTGTGCATCTCGCACAGCTCAAAGTCGAAGTCAGATGGTTGTAACTGCGATATCCGTTCCGCAACTTCTGTTTCTTTGTGAAGCGTGTGAACGAACCGTCACTCACGTAGGCACTCATTGCGTCTACCCTCCGAGCGCTCAAGGCCAGTGAGGGGGTATGGCGGGACAAGGAATCACAATGAGCTCGTTATAAGGCAAAAGATCTAATAAGAAGCAGAGACAATACCTACGATCACAAATCCAGAACTTACAAAAGTCGAACATTGTAGATGGTTAGGAAAAAGATAGGGTTGGTGGATCCGCGTTGTAGCCTCACAGACATCCCATTCGCAGGCACGTGGTCGTTCCTCACTATACAGGATGGCTAACTTGGACTCGCGAGGTATGTAAGAATGCCCGAAAAATCGGACAACCTTGTGCATACAAAACCTTCACCAATACTAAACAATACAATTGAAGTCGGCTTCTCCATACTCGTCATTCCTCAGGAAAAAAACATTCCATGTTCTTCTTCCTTCATCCTCCTCCATCCTCCTCCCTCCTCGTACGTCCTCCCATTGCACACAATACACATTTTTTGTGGCTTGAATTCTCTGTGCCCCTAGCCTGCCCTCTGCCCTCTTCCTCCTCCCTCCTCCTCCTCCTTTTTCCTTCCTCCTCCTCCCTCCTCCTTCCTCCTCATACCTCCTCCCCTTGCAGGCCACGTGTATGTGCATTTCTTTTTTTTTCCATCTCAACTCCCGTGCCACTCCAAGTGTTCTCTGCCCGAAACCTCCCCTCCCTCTTCCTCCGCTCCCCTTCGCCCTCCTCCTCCTCCTTCCTCCTCCCACCTCCTCCATCTTTCCTCCTCATACCTCCTCCCCTTGCAGGCCACGTGTATGTGCATTTCTTTTTTTTTCCATCTCAACTCCCGTGCCACTCCAAGTGTTCTCTGCCCGAAACCTCCCCTCCCTCTTCCTCCGCTCCCCTTCGCCCTCCTCCTCCTCCTTCCTCCTCCCACCTCCTCCATCTTTCCTCCTCATACCTCCTCCCGCCGAGCACCATGTATAAGCACATCACTTTTCTTTCTTTTGCGAGGATTCAGTACCTCGGCAGTGTTCTGAAAGGCCGTGCCCGCCCTAAGCGAAGGCGGACCTGCAAATGTGTGTCAATGCCTGCGTATAGGCCTATGAGACCAGGCCAAGCAGAGCCTGTTGCAACCCCTACGTGGGCATGGATCTTTGATGAGGCCTTGTTATGAGTTACCTCCTTGGCATGCCCCTGTGGGGCCTTTTAGCAAGCATGAGCCCACCCTAAGTGAAGGCGGGCCCCTGATTTTCAATATGGCCTGAGTTCGTCAATTTGGCAAAGTTTGGTGGGCGCCAGACAGTGGCCACGCACCAGTTGGTTACATCCTTCGCACTCGTGAGAATCAGAAATAATTTGTGAGCCTTCTAGGCTCTTCCAGCAACACAGGCGAAGCAGGGAGACCCTCACATTTACTTCTGGGTGGTTGGGCATGCCTAACCAATTCGGTCCCAGGCCACTGTCTGAATGGGCCTGGGCGCAGACGCTTTGGCCCGATCAGAAGCTACTGGAAACACACGAGGCCCAGCCAGACAGCAAACTGAGTGAGCACTTTCCATAAAGGAAAGAGCTCGCCACTGGTGGGGGCATTCGGGCACTTGCATTTGCGGGCGGCAGCGCTGCTGGAGCGAACGCTCGCCGGCTGCTTGCTGCGCTAGCGCTGGTGCTGTGTGCACGCATGAACATGCAGGGTATAGGGCGCTGCTGAGGGCAGCGCCATAGCCAGCCCCCTTAGCCGGGCTTGGCTTGGACATAGCCAGTGGAGGTGGTGGTGGTCTTCATGTATGGGAAGGAAGACGTGGTTAGTAAAGATGAGGCAGAGAGAGAGAGATGAGGTTGATGATGTGAGGGCACGTACCTGGTCTTGGCGATGGTCTACATCGTCGACACCTTCATGTACTTCAGTTGTGGCTGCTGATGTCAACAGGATGCATTGTCAATTCGTAGGCTGCTAGTAGCTGTGTGATCGTAGTCTGGGCGCTGAGCGCCAAGTAGGAGGAAAGGCTCTGTATACATATGTTGGTGGTAGCAAGAGTATGCTCTCATTGACATTCGGATTCGGTGCTTTGGTTCTCCCTTGGTGGAATATCAGTGCATTTCTGCTTTCTGGACAGCATGGGACTTGCTGGCTTTCAATGTGATTTTGCATTCTGGATTTCAGTCATTTCGCTCTCTCATTTTCCTTGCACTTTTCTCCAGTAATCCACTGCCCGAAACCTCCACTCCTCCCTCTTCCTCCTCCTCCCTCCTCCCCCCTCCCTCCTCCACCCTCATCCTTCTCTCTCCTCCCGTTAACACATGGCACTCTTTTGTTTTTTCGAAAATTTTTGATGACATTCTTGTGTCCATCCTACCGCTCACCTCCGCCCTCTTTGTCCTCCTCCCTTGTCCATCCTCCTTCCTCCTCTCTCCTCCTCCTCCTCCTTCCTCCCTCATCCGCCTCCCTCCATCTTTGTCCTCCTCCTTCCTCTTCCTACCTCCTCCCTCTATATGCATCGTCCATTCCTCCTCGTCAAGTTGCTCTCTCTCTCTCTCTCTCTCTCTCTCTCTCTCTCTCTCTCTCTCTCTCTCTCTCTC